AACAAAAAAAAAAAAAAAAAAAAACAACAAATTGTGGGCACGCTAGGGGAAAAACAGAATTAACCAAAACGATTGAGAAAGATAGTAGCAACACAACGAAATCTCCTCAACCGAAAGACAATGAAACAGATTTGAAATACGAGAATAAGCCAATAAACCCTAGCGGCGGATCAAAGAGAAGAACTTACAGAACTAGGGTTTCCCTAGGCCGTCCAGCTTATACGATAAGCTCCAAGGGTCTGGAAGGTATATATAGGAGAATGCCCGTTCGATTAGGGTTTGTTTCTTCTGCTTTGAAGAGCTTGGGCCGTGTTTGGCAACTAGATTTTGTATCTCAAGCCCATGGGCTCTAATATAGGCCCATTACATTAGTAAATAGATTTAATTGAGTCCAGCTCTCGTAAAAAAAAATATTTTATTCCTCTCTCTCCGATCAATGTTGGATCTCACAATACACCAATTCGGGATCCAGTGTCCTCGTGGCACAACGTCGGGTGTCCATCCCCTTCGTTTGCAAGGGAGATATTTCTAGCCTCTTATGAAGAATGTTTCGTTTCTCTCTCCAGTCAAATGTGGGGATCTCACAATATACAATACACCATTTCGAGACCCAGTGCCCTCGTTGGCACACCGTATGGTATCCATTCCCTTCGTTTGCACTGCTTTACCGAGTTTACTGTGATTGTGAATAAATAGGTTCCGGAGCTCAGCCACTTTACATTACAGTTCAATCCGGGAGATATTTCTAGCCCCTTATAAAGAATATTTCGTTCCTCTCTCCAATTGATGTGGGGATCTCACAATACACCCTATTGGGACCCAGCGTCTTCGCTGGCATACCGTCTGGTGTTCATCCCCTTCAAGGCTCAACGTCTTCGCTAATGCACCACCTAGTGTCTAGCTTGATACCCTTATAAAGAATGTTTCATTCATCTCTCCAATCAACGTGGGGATCTCACAATACACCCTTTTGGAAGCGTCCTCGCTGGCACACCGTCTGGTATCCATCCCCTTCAAGGCTCAGCGTCTCGCTAGTACACCACCCAGTGTCTGGCTCGATACCATTTGTAACAGCCTAAGGCTACTGTAAGCAGATATTGTTCTCTTTGGGCTTCCCCCTCAAGGTTTTCAAAATACGTCCGCGGGAGAGATTTTCACGCCCTAATGGTTGAAAAACAGCTAACAATAAACCAAGACTTCAAAAGAAAATCTTTAACACCGAAGAATACCAACATCAACTTTTCGAGCATTCTTCAAGGAAAAAAAAAAGTGCATGTCCTAATAGGAGATGAAAAATATATTTTTTCAATAGTTCAAACTCTGAATTTCCAAACTTATTTTCTCGAACTTTCAAGCTCTAAACTTACAAACTTTTTTTATTTTGATCTCGAAATTATGGACGAATTTTTAGAAACGTAACTATTTTGGTTACTTAGACCGACATTGGTTCGGTCCTTTTTGTGTCACAATAATCACAGAGCTAAAATATTACAATGTATGGTATTCATGTCCAAAACAGACCAAAACAAAACCCTATGTTTCATATACATTGATGAAACATGCACCAGCAGCGGCAACCTCAAATACAGACTGAGCTACACAACCTACAACATCCAGACTTGTCATTTACAAACCTTACATACAATTTCACGTCGAATTCGACCATCGAACATTATCAAGAGACCCTCGGCATCACAACGGGCGAGCAACCGAAAAATGGACTCATTATATGCTTTCATGTATCCGGTGACACGTTACGTGTTGGGGCTCGGCGTTGCCCAGACTTGGAATCTGTGCATCTTCCATAACAATGTTCCTGATATGAGTTGTAGAAGCGTGCATCCACCTGAAAATAGAAGCTCATGTCCCTTGGCTTGTAGTAGCTTCCATCGACCCTCTCGAGCGCCTTAATTTGAGCTCGAGATCGATGATGAAGTAGCATTTAGTTTGCTCTCTAACGTAGCGTATGTTACCGCTCAACTTATTGAGAAGTCTACGTGACAGGTTTAGAGCAAGGCCTTGCTTTGAAGTCCATTGCTGGCCTCCTCCAACCATATCTTGGATTAGTTCAGGAGGCAGACCTTGACCTGGATGAGACATTCTACATACAAGAAAACCAAAACAAATCATTGTCCCAATAGTTCGTTGTAGCAAGATGGATTAAAGAAGTGAGCAGTACAGACAATTCAATCATCATATGATCAAACAGAGAACATACATGGAAAAACCTAGGCTGAATGTTTTGTGTTTTTCAATTGATGTTTCATTGAAATAATGGGATTAGACTTAAAAGCTTAGAGTTTACCATGATTTGTCTCTAATCTTTGTATGGTAGAATTTAATCCTACGGTTTAGTGACTACTAGAAATCAAAAGTCGTGTAGAAAATAAATAACGAGTTGGTATGTAACATCATAAGCCCACCGTTAACATATATTTGTCCGTTTTGGCCTATTACGTATCACCGTCGGCCTCCGATTTTAAAACACGTCTGCTAGGGAGAAGTTTCCACACCCTTACAAGGCATGCTTCATTCTCCTCTCCAACTGATGTGAGATTCCACAACCCCCCCTTGGGGGCCTGACGTCCTTGCTAGCACACTGCCCGGTGTCTAACTATGATACCATTTTGTACAGCCCAAGCCCACTGCTAACAGATATTGTCCACTTTGGCCCGTTACATAACACCGTCAGCCTCACGATTTTAAAACGCATCTGCTAGGGAGAGTTTTCCACACCCTTATAAGAAATGTTTCATTCCCCTCTCTAACCGGTATGGGATCTCACAATCCACCCCCCATTGGGGGCCTAACGTCCTCGCTAGCACACCGCCCGGTGTCTGGCTCTGATACCATTTGTAGTAGCCAAAGCCCATTGCTAACAGATATTGTCCACTTTGGCTTGTTACGTATCGCCATCAGTCTCACGGT